GATGTGCGTTCCCGAGAAAGGAAAAAAGTGTTTCGGGATCAGATGAGCGTTCGTTCCACACATCACGTGATACGGTCGATGGATGAGGTCTTTCTTTCCTTTTTTTGGCATTAGAAACTTCCGGTCCAGGTTTGTTTTACAGTAATTGTCAGAATCGGAACGAGAACCACACGTGGGTATTAGGGAAGATGTTGATGTCGGTAGAAAACGTACGTATAATATTTGAGTGCATACATGGCCGGCCGGGGATAGTAAAGTAGGTATAAGTGGCCAATCAACACCGAACGGACCCGGAATATTTATAGCTATTACACCAGAGTCAAATTTTCCGTTGTTCCAGAAAAATCATTGGTCCTGATGTGCTAGCCTTTTGTTTTGTTTTGCTCGTATGTACGAAATGTAGTCCTTCCGGCGGCGGGTCACTTGACAGCCACGCTAACTTGAGTTACCCCTCCAAACATCATACTTGTTGCCCCACCATCGTCAAAATTCTTCCTTCTGAGTACTACGGGTTTTAACGTTAATTCTCTCAATCAAAGTAAGTAAGCAAACCGTGCTCCCTCTCTATGCATCATCTTATCGTGCCCTCTTCCTGCTGCTGCTGTCGCAGTATTCCCGCTATCGGTCTGTCGGCCTTTTTCCCGCATTTTGCACTGGCGTTATGACCAGCATGCAGGCACCTTTTGGAAGAATTCACTCAATAAGTGGCGACTCTAAGGATGAATTTACCTCGCTCTCATGTATGTAGTTAGCTATCATGAGGGGGCGCAGTGCTATTATTCTTGCGTTACAGTTCCATGAAGCGAACGATAGGTACAAGGAGGTCAAAAAAGAGTTGTACTTACCTTCTCCCCCGCGCACCAGATAAGATCCTCCAAATTCTCCGGCGGTAACACCTAGCTCGCCTCGCCCGCACATAGCTCACCATGTCCCCATCAACAGCCGGTAAAAAGAAAACTTATGTCGTAGAACGTAACTTCCCCCTCTCCTCTTCCCTCCCTCAGCCATCCTACCCGTCAAGCCGCTAATGTACCTGACAGATATGGAACCCGAGATGGGAGCTTGGTCTACCCTCGAGTATGCCATCATCTCCCGCGAGTCTGCCGCGTCCGGTAGTGACTTCTACCTCACCTCTGTTCCAGCATCACTTGTTTCGAACCTCCCAGAGGCGCTGAAGCCGTACGTGGGTGCGCCGCTGAAGGTGACGGAGGAGGAGGTTACCAAGGTGTCAAGCGGCGAGAGAGACAGGGTGTGTTTGTTGGATCCGCGCGCGGAGAAGGAGTTGTCGCCGGGAGATGCTGAGGTTTTTGATTGGTTTGTCTTCGGAGGAATTTTGGGTCGGTAGATTTTCTGTCATGGGAGTGTGGGGGGGGGGGTGATGGGAATCTTGGGGGATGTGTGATATGAAGTTGTTTGATGTGCCGTGATGAACTGCGAGTAAGCTACAAACTACTTCTCGGGTTAGGTGACGATCCAAGAGGTACCTTACCCCCCCCCCCGGGGGGCGTCTTCTCCCATCACCGATGCAAAGCTAATCTCCCTCAGATCGCACCGGAGAACTTCGTAAGCTTGGATACGAAGGTCGGCGCCTCGGAAGTCTGCAAATGACTACGACACCGCAGTGCGTGTTACTCGCATAGTTATCGAGGATCAAAGTAACCCCGACCTCGTTTCTTCCATCTCCCAGATCATACTTATGCAATACAGTTCCTTTGATAAAATTCCATTTCGGATCCCCAGAGCTGAAACCAACAAGATGAGGCTACACAGATCCATTTAGATATGTAGGGCAATGATGGGAAGCCGATATGCCTGAGGTATGTATATGTGGATGCGGGTTCTTCTTGGTTGAGCTAATTGGGTGAGAATAGGGGATGTTAGAACTCATCGAGGAAGTGCAGATAAGGGTTTGATGACTTTTTCTAGGGGTTTCACCAATGGCGCTGTAGAAACATATTTGCGTAAATTGATGTCCACTAGAAAGTGATTGGCTGTGGGTTAAAATCCGCGGTATATTATCGAGTGATAATCTTGAATAATGGGTAAGCAAGTATTGGGGTATGAGATGATCACCCCAGGTCTTATTAATAGGCATTATCTCGCTTTATCGATTATAGATAAATATCGAATAAGGTGTGGCTGGAAAGGTCACTCATGCGACCTCCGGTTACATACTGTAGCGTTTGCGTCTTCGAATCGAGCTTGGAGTTTGATTAGGAACTTAATATGATGAATATATTGATGTAAAGCTTCATATACTTGTGTGTGTCTGATATACTAAATCCTACAGTTTATTCTACAGTGTATCCCAGAGGACGTTCTAGTGAGAGATTGTGTGCTTGCTAATGTACCGCCGCACTGTAAGCCTCTAGGGGCGCTAGAAAATTAAGGTGGCTAGTGGCAAGCAATCAGGTTTGCGTTCTTTTCAGTTGTAGGTCAGATCAATTATCAGCCCATCTCACCCCATCGCGATCCTTTCACAGTACAACCCCAGGTTTATGGCTATATCAAGGCCCATTACTTCTTACACAAACCCCTTTCTAGAGACCTAAAATATGTCAGCAGATCTTAATCAATATCACAGCTTGTGAGGTCTACACTCCCCAGGAGCGTATTTTGGATCCTCTCACAATATAGGTGCTACTGGGTTGAATATTCTCAGGCCACAAGTCCACCTTTGCCTATCTCAGCTGAAACGTGAAGGTAGTATATCCACACAATGTTTTTTCCTCTATATAAGTTAAAGATTCACGGGGTTGAGGCTCAGATGTACAGACAAGGCTTAAGGGCTTGCGAGCACCTCTTTCAAACTCAGACCGAAAGCGGCCAACCCCCGCTGAAAAGAGTCGAGTTTACACAACAACAGCCCTTGACCAATGTTTAAATTGAATTTTCGCCTGCTTTTGACGCTCTGGTATCTCAATATCAATGATCAGGCTGAGAACAGACCAAAACCCAAATCCAAGCCACGAGATCTAGATGCTTGATAACCCGCATAAGATTCATGCATTGACGGCACGCGATGAGGAAATAGTTTATCACTTTCAGCAACCAGATGAGAATAGTGCAGGTCTAAACTCAACTATGTCTAGAGTCCGCGGCTGAGGACGATCATTTTGATTCAGGTGGTGGACCCGCGCTCTTGTGGCCTTAATTCTTTTTGATGGTTTGACTTCGACGCCTGCGATGCAGCTCAAGCGAAATGTGCACCAGTTCAGGTCAGCACAACGCCGGATTCAATTGAGCCCAGCAAAATCGAAAAGGAAGAACCATCACAGCAACCATCCAGTCATAGCCGTAGCTTGGAGCCCGGAGAGCAACTACGATTGGCAGCATCGACACCCCTACTAGAGGCCGTTGTCTTTTCTGAATCAGAATTCGATACAGCTACGGAAGGAGATGAGGATGACGATTATGCATATGGTGGATCAGATGCAGGAACTATAGTTATAAAGCTCCAAACAACTGTTCAGGAACAGAAATTACGGGAAGAGGAGGAGGTTAGAAGACAAGAGGATGCTACCAAAAGACAAGAGGCAGAGGAGGCCAACCGCCGAAAAGAGGAAGCCAACAGGCTAGAAGAAATGGCTAGACAAGAGGAGCTTGCTAGACAAGAGGCGGAAAATAATGCGGATGAAAGTGAAGACGAAGAGCTACCTCAGCATCCGATCATTGGCAAAGAAGGACGGAAGCCTACACCCTGGCCAACACCCCGGGTCAATTCCTATGCGTCATCTTTAGACATAGATAGAAGAGCTGAAACGGGCTCCCCGCTTAGTGAAGACGGGGATCTGGAGTTTCACGATGCTCTATCATCTCCTCTTGCTTCTCCTATAATCACGCCTCGCGAAGAGGAACTGGCACTGCCAAATCTGACACCCCAGGTCACACCTAAAAAAAAGAGTGAATTCGTGATCTCGTTTGGTCCCACACCAACACGCTCCAACCCTGGGGATCCATCGCCATCGACCAACTCAGTGCTTCCGCAACTCCCCCAGAATCCATCTCCACCTGGACCACCGGTATTAAATATTATTCCTGCAACCCCCATGCCACTCATGTCGCCTAGCGCTATGCAGGAGAAACAGCTAGGTCACTCAATGCCGCTTCTGGAGCGAAGATCAACAGAAATTCCCACACTTATCACTACCTCACCGACTCTTCCCCTTGCGGCCCCGCTTGTACCACCAAGACTTAAGAAAGCTCAACGTCCATCGCTACTTTCCCAGCCGAAACGTATGCGGGAATCCAAATTGCACCCCTGGTGGCGCCCTCGTATTGAGAATGCTGAGGATGAAGGATTGTCTCGATCATTCACTACACAAACACAGGCTTCTGAGTACTCGGTTTCTAACAGTGGTGTGCCTGGGAAGCCTGATGGGAAACGTGGGGAAGAGTTACAAAGAAGATTAAGGGAACAAAATTTCAAATTGAATTTATTGGCCTGGGGACTCTGAGGGAAAAAGTTAAAGTTGCTGGAGAGAAAACCAGTGGGTTGGGGAGAAGAATGTCCTTGAGGAAAAAGGCGTAGTATTTATATCTGATTTTGATGCTTGTTATGAGGACGATGATTTGATATGATATGATACTTGCTACGATACGATGTGATGCGATATTGATGTAGTTTTTCCATGTTTTGTTTTTTCCTTTGTCCCTTTTTGAACCTAGCATGGAAAACTGATTTAGCGACTCGATTTTGGAACCAGGAACTGGTGGTAGTTTGTATTGGCGAATTTAGTGTTGTTTGGGAAGGAGTTTTTTTGTTGTTAATATATCTCCCCAACTAATTTCCTTCATTTTTGTTACCTGCCGAGTTTGCTGGTCACTCGTAACGTTTATTATGTTTAGTCTTGCTAGCTTACCTATCAAGTTATGCCCATCACGGTTTCACGAAATATCTTAATTACATATTCCGGTCATGAATGTTCGCAAAAATCAGAGGTTCATGCGATGAACTGATGATATGGATGTTATTGTACATTTGCGGGGAGGGAAAGGTCGTAATTTCATCCTATCTAATCCTCTTCCATGGCCTCAATCCTGTTCTCCGCCTTTGCCACATCGGCAGAAAAACTGGCTTCTTTATCTACCATCTCCACAAGTACACTTACGATATTCTCCTCGATGCCTCTCTTCCCAAGTTCCTCCAAATGTTTCTTTGGATCTAGCTTTCCAACATATCGTGTCTTCAATTCGTCCTTGCTCAAATCGTTTTCCTCTTTAACACGCTTCTCATAGGCTTCAGCAAGACCAACCATCTTCTCGAGACGTTCCTGGTTCTCTTTTGCGGAGGACTTGAAATCTTTCATTGTAAGCCCCTCAGTCCAAACGGTTTTGTGGAGGTTCATCAGCATGTTCTCCTCCAGATGAGTCTTTCGATAATTGATAGCGATAGAGTAGTAATGTCTGTTAAGACCATGGATGAGAGCTTGAATTGACGGTTTATTAAGGTGCCCCAAGTTGGAAGTCGTCTGGCGGGGCTCCTGGCCAAGCATTAGGGACTGAGGGTTGATGAGCCGGAAGGCGTCGATGACGACTTTACCCTTGACAGACTGGATAGGGTCGATAACAACGGCGACGGCACGTGGGGTAAGTTGTTCAAAGGATTGTTGAGTGTTAATGTCGACACTTGATAGCCAACAGCCAAAACCGGGATGGGAATGGTACCAGCCAACGACTGTTTCTGGTCTAGATACCGAGTTTGAGTATCATTCACTAATATATTGAGCTTCATCATTCTTACCTTCCGGTTTGTCTTAGCATATCCATCATCTTGGTCTGAAATACAGGGTCGACAGCTTCAACAGAAACACCAGTTCCGCTCTGTGGCATCGCAAATACATCCACCACACGAACAGTGTAATCATCTACAAACTCTCCAAGCATGAGTCCCATGACTTCCATTGGTACACCTAGTAATCCATGGTAGTCAGTATCGATCATTTCGTAAAATCATTTGCTTTATCAAAGCTATGGAAACAAACCAGCTCGGCCATGTCTTAGCATCTTCAATAATGCTAGCGAGGAAATGTAGACCGTCTCGGAGTTATCAATCACCGGAGTATCCTGAGAGTATTAAAATTAAAATTAGTTTTATTATCACCAGGGAAAGTATGGAAGTATATCGGCTTATAGAGTAGTGAAATTAGAACTTACCACTCCTGGAGGAGCACCGCCCATAGAACTCATTCCTTGAGCAGCTGCGAGTACGCGGTTTAATCTGTCCATGCAGAAGGTGTATTAACAGCGGTATGTGTGATAGTCTAGATCCGAGCGATGATACTGACGATGATATCTGGATGAATAACGTATTGGTGGCGATGATAGTATCCGCCCGGAGATGAAGGTAGAGAGAGAAGATGGAGGGGTCGTGCTGTTTCTCGGCAGAGAGCTTGAGTGAAGCGTTGACCTACCTTCCTCAGGGTAACACAGATTCGCTTGCAGGGAGCATTTATCAGAACGCCCACATGCCATAAGGAGATACAAGCTCCCCCGCCTTTCCCCTTCACAAATCTGCACTCGTCCCTGACGACATCGATACCGATATTTTAGATACCGATATTTTAAAGCGGAGCTTTTCAATACCATTATTCTTAGAATATCGCTTTTCTTTGACCAACTGTCCCAATAATGGCTCAGAAAGCAGATGACGATTATTTGAAGCTCTTCGAGGGCATCGAAGAGCAACCAGATACTACTACCAAACCATCAGCCGAGAATATTGCGACCCAGCAATCTGAACAAGATATACTTGCTGAGCTTGATTATCTCACCGCAGAACGTCCTAAAGCCGCAGTTTCTAGACCTCATACCCCCCGTCTCGCCCCTTCACCTAGCACAAAGAGCTTTGAACGCAGCAGGACCCCCGCTGGCAGGAACAGTGGGGAGGGCTACGGCTATGGCCTCCCACCTAGTAGGAGAGGTAGCGGAGATACTGGGATTAAAAAAGCTGAAAGAACTTCTCTAGATATTGTCTCTCCCGCCACCCCCAGTACCGGGAAAGAGGCAGGGCAGGCTACTGCATCTAGGAGCAACGCAGAAAGTAGTATTAGTGGAGGTACCGGCGATGCTATTTCTGCCACTCCTGCCGCTGCTATTAATGCTGCTACTGGTGGTGGTGGTGCTAGTGGTGGATGGGGTTGGGGCTCAATTTGGTCAACGGCAACAGCAGCGGTCAAGACTGCCGAAGGAATGGTCAAAGAGATTCAGCAGTCGGAGGAAGGGAAAAAATGGGCTAGTCAGGTCAAGGGCAATGCTGAAGTGTTGCGTGGTCTAGGTCCGTCAAAGCTAGGGTTGGATCAAATGAAGTAGCTAACTTGAGATTCAGCTGGAGACGTTCGCTCCCGCGCAATTCCCACATTCACCACACTTCTTCATACACTTGCTCCCCCGATTTCTTCTCATGAGCAACTCCGTATACATATTACTCATGACCTTGAGAACTACCCCTTCATTGACAATGTTGTGTATGGGGTGTTTGATCGGGTCATGCAGCAAGTAGAAGGCGGTGATTTACTCGTTGTACAGCGAGGTGGAAGTTCTAAACCCCGCTCTTCACTGGACACAGCATTCAGCGGCGGCCCCTGGTGGAAGGGAATGGAAAAGGTACATTTCTGTGTTCCTTAATCACCTGTAATAACAAGTCATATCTGATCTCTTTCCTTTCAGAGAAACCTAAATGCCACTTTGGGCCTCGAGGAAGGTGTCAAGCTTGCCCGTGCAGCAACAGATTCATATTCCCAGGAATTTGCCTCAAAGTCTGATACCATTTCCGATATCCCGTCGAAAGATAACCCAACTCGAAAGTCGAACATATTCCTTGCAATTCAGCCCACTGTTTATACGCAACAGCCCATCGAAAACCTGGGGGTCTCAGATGACAAGGAAGAAAAAGAGCAAGTTATCGTATTCGCTATACATCTATATGACCCTGTAAATTCCCTATCATTTTCTACCGTTTCACAGGCACTCCCGGCTCAGTGGTTGGAGTGGTTGGACGCCCCCGCACCGAAGGACACCCAACCTGGCGATTGGGCACTTCCTGAGGTCATCCGTAACATGGTGGATATGGGGGGCATTGATCCTCGAGAATGGATAGTTGAGTGGGTGGAAGAGGCGGTTGGGCTAGCTGTAGGCGTTGTAGCACAGAAATACGTTGCCAAGAGGATGCGAGTAGGCGACTCAATTGGCGAACCGATAATCGAGAAAGAAGGAGGGGAGGGGGAGAGGGGGCAAGCGCCATCGGATTATAACAGGCTTAACCCGGCTAGTAATTGAACAGTAAATATGCCCATACTCATTCCGGAAGCCGAGTCCAGGGGAGTTTCATAACCCGCTTTCTTTTTCATTTTGTTCCTTTTGTTACGAAACTGGGGAATGTCTCTCAGGTAGTGTCTCTCGTACTATCTTCCGCATATTCATTACCATCTTATCTGGCGGAGAGTTGAAGTAGTTTGTATCCCGGCTGGTTTTCTTTAACCAGACGTAATTTGTGAAACAGCTTTACTTGAGTAAGTCTAGTTTTACTCACTTTTTAAAGAATGTTATATAAGTGCCTCCTCTAAAAGCCTTATCACACTTGTGATAGAGCAGTAAATACATCCTCCTCCACTGAAACCCAATGGAAAAACTAAACGTAAGAAAGAAAATAGCGACATAGTATGTTGAACGGGCCTTCTCGTCAGGCATTAGCCAATCAAAATTTCGAGAAGAAGAAAGGGGTTTATTAGTTTATCAATTATAAATATACTCGAGAGTACAGAAAATTTAAGGATACCTATATGTACTTACTACATTTATATCTATTAGTAGTTATCGATAAAGATGAAAGCACCCAAAGCTACATATAAACCACGCGGACACACAATGCAGTTTCTCAGGTTTCAAGAGAATTATATTAATGTTCATGAGTATTCTATCTTTCTCTCCCTCGGGCAGACATCCGAATTCTCACAATTTGTAGATCCGAATAAGAACAAAATACAAATCCATCAATTATACATTTCTTACCCAAGTCGCTTTTAAACGCCGAGATACATTAAGAAGAGAAGAAAAAAGTGAGAAAGGAAATAGAGAAAATAAGGAACTAAATCCTGAGATTGTTTGCCGCTATTTCTTTGCCTCGGCTGCCTTTTTCCTGTCCTTTTTTCCACCTGCCAACAACTCTAGATGGCCTGCTTTCTGCGCAAGATGGCGTTCAGTTCCTGCAGCAAGTTGTGCGCCCAATCTCTGATCATCGTTAAGAACAAGAATGTGGGAAAGCTAGGGGAGATAGTGACCTTATTAAGATTGTTGGCCTTCACGAGGGAAGCACGTTTTGGTGCGATTTCTACTCGACCTTTTTTCATTATGCCAGCATTTGTTCTGTCAATATATCAATTATTAGCAATGGAATAACGATTGGTGCTCAAGAGGCGTCAAACCTTTTTCCAGATTTGGCCGCGATGGGCTTTGACAACTTCTTTGTTCCTTGGGCCATTTTTGCGTTCCTGGATGTTGAGTGTCTTGGATCTTAAAAACTCGGTAGAACTTATGGTGGTGTGAAGTATTTAAGTTACCCGGCTACTCGGGCCAGCAGTGACGCGCTCAACTGAGCTGTGCATAATACCAAATTTACTGGCGATAAATTTAGGACTACAAATCATTAGGGCCAGGTGTACTTTTTTTAAGGAAATTATGTTTAAGTTGCTTAGTATGAGGATCTTAATAACCAAACCAAAGGTTAACTATCAACGTCTGCACTGGCTTTTGTAGAACGATACCCGTCGTTCCACCAGCACATGGCGCATTTACAGAGTTAACCAGAACGGGAACAACCCTTGCTCTCCTTATGATCTGGGGAGGTAACGTACTTACCTACTCTTACACATATCTGGTTCACCGTTCACATTCCCATCCTGTCGCACACTTCTTCATCTTCTGCACTTTTGGTACGGATGACAGCCATGGGCTTTTAGGACCCACCTTGATATCCTTTCATCGGGCTCCATTCCGTAATCTCAAACTACTCTATTTTTTCCTAGTTTGTTCAGGACGTAAGTAGGATTTATTTTTTTCTGTTGGCCTTTTGCAGTTGTTCTTCATCAGCCCTCTTCTTGCGACGGGCCATTTCCCTCAAATACTGTGCAAGACTTGATCCGTTCAATTACCTTGACTCAGCATCCCTTAGCCTGTATTTTGCTTCCTCCTAGATGTCCCCATCCTTTTGATCGCGTTTAAAAGTTTACATCTTTTTTTCATTCTTCATAACCCCTGTATCTGGTCTTGCACTGCTGGCTCCCAATTATCGCTCAGACAACTTAGCACCCCTCTCTTCCACACCGTGCACCGTTTCTTTTGGATACACAAGTATTATCAGATCTCATCACCCCTCCGAAGTTTACTACTAACAGAGCACTATATTAACTCAGTTCATCTGTGGCGCAATCCAGATCAAGTTCAACCCAAGAATCTCAGCGGATTTATACAAAGCTTGAGGTGAGTTAGTTTTACTTTGTATACTTCTGTCAATCTTGCAAATACCTGTATCCCGGCCCGATTTATATGGAACTTCATGTTACGCGAGTTTATCTACTGCTTGATCAAGCAAGCATCTTCCAATCTCCATCTTATTTCTCACTTCTTCTTCTTACCTGCATTCAATTTACACCAGGATTGCTAATTTTATCTAGCGCTCGACTTGGCAGCTCTTTGCTGCTCCTTGATGCTCTTTTGATAACCTTGAAGCGGCGCTGAAAGTGTGAATACCCGGCCTTGTTCCTTATTGATTGTCGCCACACGAAAAGGTATGTGAATGGGTTTTCTTATATCTATTCTACTTAAATCTCTCTTTTTTCTCCTGTTTAATTCCTTTTATTGTGTTTATCATCTGTTCATTTGTAATCCCGCTACTGCTTGGAGGACCTTCGATTGATGTCATGTGAGACGCGCTTCTGAAGCTCGGTTTGTACACCACCAACCACATCACAATGTTTCTTTCTACAAACTTTCTATTTTTCAATTGTACACCTGGTATTCTGCTTCCCCAGTGTCTCTTTAAAAAATAATTCCCCTGGTCATTAAAACCTATTCACAATTACTTTGATACAATTCCAGCCAATATCAAATTATAACAATACCTTCTCCGATTACATACTCTATGAAACCTCTATATCCTACAACCTCGCGCCCTACTATTTACTTCTGTACTGAACAAACTTTCCTTATTTAATCTATATTTTTTGAATATTTTATTCACAGAATTACTGACTTACATCTATTTTAATAATTTAGGTTCTTCTATCGCATAAATCCCAAGTATGCCACCTCGCCGACGAGCAAAATCTATTCAGGACCAACCTTCTTCTTCTTCGCCCCCACCTCCTAATACTTCTCCAACTGTTCCTGCGGGACTTACACCTCGTACAACTCGCTCAAGAAAGAGCCAGTCTTCATTGACAATCGAGCCCCCAAGGCAGCAATCAACTACCCGTGCGCCACTATCTGCACCATCCACAGGCACAAGTTCATCTTGGACTTTACCTCAAACCTCTCCACAATTAGAATCACAACGCCGATCGTCAAGGGTGACAGCTGTAAAAGCTAGAGAAACTATCAGAGAAGCTATACTCCCTCCTAACCAATATAATTCTGCCACCGCACGGGTAAGAAGAGCTAGTATAAATTCTACGAATAATAATCAAATAATGAGGATAGATAACCCATTATCCTCAACCGAGGCTGCGCTGAATACAAGCCCTCTACTTACAGCAACCCCGGGATTTAGTCCCAAAAAGAAGACACCACCGGGGCTTAAACAGGAAACATCAGATACAAAATTATTGGACACAATACTTCAAAACGGGGGTACCAACGACTTCCACAGAGGGGGAAGAAGGGGATCATTATCCAATTCAGTCAAATCTGGAAAGGAGACTAATAAAACTGCTGATCCGCTCAATGGTACCGATTTATCTCAAAATTTGGATGTTATCTCAAGCGCAGAAACGGATAATTCCGGACAAGAAGTAAACCTGGAGAGGGAAAGCGTCAGAGAGGCCAATAAGAAAACAATTACAGGAAAATCAGATACCGATATCAATATGCAAGATATGGAAGTGAGCGAACCGATAAAAGGAGGCCTTCCTTTGACAGAATCTATCGATGCTGAAAACCGGTAAGCAGAGGACCTCTAATGAAATCCTGAGAAAGCAACGCAATTATACTAATTTAGGGTTGGAATATATAGGGAACTCAATACAGGCGAATCCGAAGTAAGCATTATTGAAAAATCTCAAGAGATTATATACATAGCTGGTTCATCACCCCAGCAACCCGGTCATGATTCGTCACCAAAGTCATCGGAAGGGGGTAGGGAGTCACGTGATACATCGCCTAGTACAAGTCAAAAAGGTAAACATGATTTATCATCGTCTGCCAAAATGCTTTCGAAGGCACGACGTAAAAAACCCCGGAATATCTACATCAGCCCACAGAAGCAGCGGCTTCTGCGTCAGAAGCAGAGGGAAAGGGAAGAATATAGAAGAAAGGTTGGGCTTTCGGATTCTATGGCCGGCAATGGTATCCCATTCGACTCTACCATCCAAGACCAGGTTAATAATGCCTTTGAAGAAGACTTTGGGCCGCTCCTGCGTGGAGAGGTCGTTGTTGTGGACGGTGCGCAAACCCCAGTAAACTTGGTTGAAGCAGCGGTGGATATACTTCTTGGGACTGCGATGAGGGGTATAGAAATTATCAAAAAGGAGGATGAAGACGCGAATACTATCATGCGCGAAATCGATGCAGACGAAGAGAGAGACGGCCCCAAGTTTCTAAGTCATGTTGATGAGCCTTTATCCCCAATAATCGTCTCACAGAATTGCACTGTCGACTCATCCCTCCAAGCTCCTAATATCAATGAAGATAGGGCCAAGGGCGGCTCTCCATCATACCAATTACTTACAGAGGCCGAGAAAGATTGCGAGAAGCACGATCAGACTACCGAGGTTGAAGCCATTAGTGATAGCAACCCCGTAGCGCGAAAGATTACACCTTTGATTAAAGAGTCAGTTAGGCACGTTCCAGTTCATAACTCTGAACAAACCGATGATGAAGACGGAGCATCGTGTTCTGAGTCTCAGTCATCAGCCAGCTCGACGGACGAACTGGAAGTTTCCGACCAATTAGACCAATTAGACCCGGAAGTCCTTGAAGATGCAGAAAACTACCCCAGTAGACCAATTGGAAGGCGTCTGTCTTTAGGTCCGGATGGTGAGTTGCAAAAACAGGTTGCAAGAGGGAGTTCCAATGTACCTAGTCGAGGGGAAGATGTTTTTATGGTGAGTCTAATTTATATCTTACCAATGTGTCTCTTTATAACAAATATCTTCAGGACGGTTTCAACGGAAATTCGAATGATTTAAATGCCGAGTTCCAATTGGTTGTTGGCGATAGTCCTCCAATACAAGACGAGGAAACCGTTGTGGATGAAGAAGAAGACAAGCAATTGGAAAAAGTCGCTGATAATAGCGAGGATAAGCATAATGACCCTGAGGTGACGGATTTTGAAGTAAAGAGCGTTACCGGGGACGAGGTCAAGCTACCCGATGAAAAGAATCCAGACCCGGTTCAAGATGTCACAAACCTCAGTGAAGAGGACCACCCAACAACAACAATCGACGCTGTACCCCATCAAATAACTACAGTGGCTGAACCTCAAGAGATTCAGGTAGAGCCTTTGCCGATAAATGTTCGCTGTCTTCTTTAAAACTTCCGCATAGTTACTAACAAAGGCATAGGAACCAAAACCAATTGAAGATGAAATTTACCAAGCTGCTTCTCGGCTAATCACCTTTAGCTCAATTCCTGCAGCTGCAGCTACAAAAAAAAGAAGCTACTCTCAATTTGCCAATATAGAAAGCGGGTATGTTAGCAAATCGGCACTATATATTTACAGACCACTAAATTGTGCTTTCAGTGGTCCATCGAACTCCCAAAATAAAGTTGTGACGCAGGCTCACGAGTGTCCGTTGTGCCAAACTACTCTTGCTGATATTCTTACGATACGCAAAGCAATGGGCTTAGAGCAAAGCCTCAGTGGTATTGAAATCATGAAAAAGCACGTTGAGCTATGCACTAAACTATATGCGGATGATGATGAGGATAGGAATGATGATGAGGAGGACAGGATCGAGGACGAGGAAGAAGAGGAAAATGCAATTGACATTGATATTGATGAGGCAGAATCAGAAGAGATTGAAGGGCAGGGCGACGAGGAAGACGAGGAAGAGGAGGAGGAGGAGGAGGAGGAGGAGGAGGAGGAGGAGGAGGAGGAGGACGAAGAAAAATGGGAAGATGAAGATGTAATGGAGGATGTGGTTGATGGGGATGGGGATGCTGTTTTGGATCCAGAATCGCAGGATTCGTTAGGGTTTCACAGATCCGCACAGAATCAGAAACATCTTCCAGCTTACATTGTCTGTGACCCGGAAACCATCGAAAAGGAGCTCGCGGCTATGGAAGTGGCTCTTTTATCTGGGCAATTCCCTTCGACTACAGCCGTCCACGAACTTTTGTTTTCTAAGCTTACCGATGTCTCTGAATTCCAGAAAAGTCTTGACAATGCTAAAGACGAGGGAGAGCGATTTCACGCAGAGGAAAATATTGTCTGGGCTTTGGAAGCAATGCAAAAGGAGTATCTTCTTCTAGAAGAGGTCATCAGGCAGAAAGAGGCTGAAGAAGAAGCCTCTGCGGTTTTCAGTGGAGAGTCCTTGTCTAGTGGGAGAGGCAGGGGAAGGGGAGGGGGAGAGGGAGAGGCAGCATACAAAGAGGAAGAGTCAGATCCCATTGCAAAAATCCCCTTTGGCCTGACGATCGCATAGTGTGGGAAGATAAGAAGGAGGCAGAACTCTACGGTTTCGCATATGATCCTGCTCCTGATAAACGCGGTAAACAGGACGCAGATGGACAGCAGTCTGGTAAATACTCGATTCGGGGTAGGGAGTTGCGTAGTCGTGATAAAGCGGCCGAGTATGTTATCATGCCTGGATACGAATTCAAAGACCCCCGTGTGCATACATTGCAGCCCAAACTCACAAGACGCCGAAGATTGGCGGAAGACAAGAACAAGGAAAAAGAGCCAGGTAAGGAGAATGGGAGAGCGGAATCTGCACCTGTTCAATTGCCACCTGGCCTCGATCCTTTGATGCCTCCTATCAAAAAGCGAGTTGGTAGACCACCAAAAAATCCTAACGCTCATGCCTTGGCCCTTGCAGCGGCCCAGGCACAACCTAGAGAATTACTTGCAGCGATTCCACTTTCCCGTACTCACTCAGCAGACAATCTTAGCCGAGTCCGAGGCTCGCCACTCTCAAATCGAAGAAGTGGGCGGCTTAGCAATTTCGGCCAAGGACAACAGGCCGGGGACTCTGGGGGTGATGAAGTGGTTGAAGCTTCTGCAGCGGAGCCGACAGACCAATCATATAGCACACTCCGGATTAGGTTCAGTGCTAACGGTCGAGAACAGTTGAGGGACATTCTTTCAAGAGACCCGAATCCTGTTTTTGAGCTGTCCGATATCATGCCATTACCGTGTTCGCTGAACATCCCCGCTACACAGTCGGAACCCGTATCTCCTTTGAGGTTCTATCATGGCGGAAAGCAGGCTGGTCAACACGACGGTTTACTCACATTGATGACTGACGCTGCTGGTCTGGACGAGGGCCCTGGATCGCCTGTTTACGACTCGGCTCCAGAGGGAGCGACCACCCCAACGAGAGGCAGGGGAAGAGGCAGGGGAAGAGGCAGGGGAAGAGGCAGGGGAAGAGGGAGGGGAAGAGGCGTATTTATGAGTAGAGGTAGGGGAAGGGGAAGAGGGAGGGGATCCACAGTAACAGCCTCATCTGGACTGCGTATTGAGACTGCAAGTTCAGTTGATGATGATGAAGTAAGAATGGAAGATGAGGATACCGATGCTTTTACAGGTTTCGATGGGCGTTCTCATTGTCCTCCCGAGTATAGTCGCAACGGAGAATCAACTGACGCCGACGATCACATTGTTAGCGGCGATGCGTCAGCGACCTCCGGTGGGAACCATGATTTTAGGTTTCATTCAAATTCGTTCACGGCCCCAAACAAAACCCCTGTAGGAAAGAAGAGCACTTCGGGTCCATCAACCCCGGCCATGCGTTTTAATGGCAACAGCGCGGGATCAACTTCTCCAATGTTTGGTGTCTTTCAAAGCCGACCAGGCCCGGCTTCGCTACCGGCAATATCCGGTAGTAGCCCTACGGAGTTGAGCCCTCAGGATGGACTTGAAGATGGAAAATCAAGACAGCGCGTGAGAGGGAAAACCTATAAGACTCCTACATTTGTCTCAAGGACAGATGCTGATCCAAGAGCCACGAAAGAAGAAGAGTTTATTGAGGCGCAAAATGGAAATCTTGGAAAACGTAAGAGGACAAGAACGGCACTTGCATATGATGCACCAAAGAGAAAATCTAGAGGAAGACAAACTGAGGGGGGTTCGCGTTCAGGTGGCAGTCACGATTCAAGGGACGGGTCGCAAGAGGCAGATGTGGAGATGAGCGATGACGACGAGAGCGATGAAGGTGATATGAGTACTTATGGGGGTACAGGTGCATAGGTGTTTTCTTCTTGATCACCGCAAGAGAGGACATCATCTCTGAGCTTTCCAATTTTATTTTTCCCTAACTTTTTTACATCTAAATTAATTTTCATACCTTTCTACGGGCATTTTATCCTTGTTTTTGTCTTTTCTCCTTTTTTTTACCTTCCCTTTCTGTTTTCTTAATTCTCGTGGTTTGTGAGACTGCCTGATGCTTCTTTTACGTATGAAATCAGCTGTATTATTATTTATGGGAGAAATGTAGCTCCAAGTACGGGTATCAATTCCCAAAAATTTCGTGGACCTGGTGGGTATTTAAATAGACGGCGTTTATCATTTTATTTCTCGCTTCTCTTTCTGGGTCCTGGATGTGGGAATTCGCAATAAATTTGTCTCATATCCGTAACAGGCCTAGCCTGGGTTCTAACTAAGTTCAATTGAACTACATGTATTCTTACTATCTGGGAATTAAGTTATGAACTGGGCAAATCATACCGCATCACTCGCTGAATATAACAGAGTAGGGTACATGAATGTAGGGTCTTGGCAGAACTATTCTTAGCCCCCCTGCAGATAGTAACGGGGGGGCCGGCAGGTTACTATTTTCCCACGCGCTAACATCCTTATCGATGTTCCAGATCGGTTAGCCATTGACAGTTCGTCTTTTCGAAAAGACGAATTTCACACTGAACCTCCCTCCCCCTCTCAAGGAAACTCTGGCGCCACCATCGTCAACTGTGTACAGCCCGTACTGCATTCGGCTTGATTTGTTAAGTGCAGTACTGTCGTTCACGGGGTATTGGCGGATACTGGGTGATGGCGGACAGGGCAAAAAAGAGACAGCCAAGCCAACTTTTACCTGCAATTCGCTAATACCCAGTATCCACCAATACCCCGTGAATGACAGTCGTACTCACCTCCGCGCTAGGATCCAGCCAGTCACGTGTCTCCAAAGTTGACTCACGGGCTCTTGGCCATGCAAATACCACCGCGCTGTGCGACAGAGTGTAACGACGTAATGCTTGTTGGGCAGGCATTGTAATGGTGTATGTCCGACAGGGGGGCATTCTCACAAACGGCAACAAAGTAGATACAGTACCATGTAATACTATCCCTTGGACGCGTGAGACATTTGGAGAATCTCTCTCATGCATTAGCGGGAATTGGCAGTCATGTGACTTAGAATTTGGCTGAGAAAACGTCCGGGTAAGCAGTTTGCTGCATTTATCGGTCTTCGGAATACTCAGAGATGCTAAAAACTTCGCAAGTTGCTGCTTTATTATAGTAAATCGTTTCCTAGGTAGGGCACGCTAATGCATGAGAGAGATTCTCCAAATGTCTCACGCGTCCAAGGGATAATGGTGTATGCACTTTTTTTGATTTCCTTCGACTCTACTCGTAGTTTTTTGACGTTTCCGGACGCGACCACTATTGCATGCCATACAAAAGATAGCCTTGGCGATTTTTTTCTGTGTATGCAATAGCAGTTGCGTCCGGAAACGCTATGAAATTGCGAGTAGTGTTTCTTTATTGATTTATGCATGATAAGAAATGCCGCAATGCGTTTTAGGGACCTACGGAAAGAACGGATGATGGGATAGTGGTGTGTATGGGCAGATTTGGGGAGGATGAGCGAGCGAGCGAGCGGAGGGTATAAATGGAGGCCCCCGAGTCCGCGGGGGGAGGAATCTGGAGTTGATAGAATTGTCCTGCAATACTACTCGACTGCTCATAAGTTTACTTGTACTTCTTTTTACCAAACACTCTCTATACTAGCTAGCTATCATGGCTTCTGAAAATGCATTGAGTTACGCAAAGGCCATCGGTATCTTCACCGCTGGCATCGCTGCTGGTAATCAGGACCTCTCTCTCGCAATATATCTATCCACATACCTTTCTATCTTTTCTAACATGCATGAGCACCAGGCACAAACTTCTCCACCTCCTTCCTCGTCATGCCCGCCATCCTGCACCCACGTACAACGCCGCCCAAGGACCTCCACGCGCAATGGAAGCACCTCTACGACCACGGAAAGTTCACACTCCCGCCGCTCTCGATTGTTGCTGGTGCGGCGTTCTCGTACGTCGCGTACCACGACGAGAGCCTGCGCGTACCGTATGGGATCGCAGCAGTGTCCACGCTGGGAATCGTTCCATTCACACTTGTGGGCATGAAGGCGAATCTGGGAGCACTATTGGAGCAGAGAGTCTGGGGTGATGTGGATAAGGGGAGGTTGAGGGAGCTGTTGCGGCGGTGGTCGGGGCTTAACTGGTACAGGGCTATCATGTTGATGGTGGGGTTTGGGACGGCATTGGTAAATTAGGCTATATATTGAATGGGGGTATCATTCCTCAGTTGCCATCTATGTACGTAGGTAGGTCCAGATGGGTATTACCTTTGGTAGCTTCGAGTATAGCTAGCATTGAGTAGTTAGCCTGAATGAATAAATGAACGAAGAAAGCAAAAAGGTCTCCAGCTAGCCGTATAGGTGTAAGATCACGAACGAGTGCTAGTACGTGATCTGTGTAAATGCTCTTGCCCAAAGTTATCCAGCCAGTAGCTAGAATTTGTAAGACCGACCATGTCATACCTTGAATACCGAGCAAGTTGTTGTCCACCATGTATACAATCCTAGGACATTATTTTCTTAAGGATTGATATGCATGGTGTAATTAAAAAAATGTCCGTCGGTCGCAGCGTTGCCCCGGATCTCGCTTCGACGGCGTCGGCCTTGTAGATCAGCCGGTAGCAGAACAAAGTCCACCCGGGGGTGCAGCGATGATCGTTTAACCGAACTACATGTAGATATCAAGATCATGATTTCTGTCAATTAGCTGTGGAGATTATTGGATAAATTAGGATAGCACGATGGAAGACCCTTGTGTAGCTGGTTTCTGGAGATAGTAAGTTGTGAGTTAGATCACGGGGAATCACTCACCTCCGGTGTCTTACCCGGTGGCGGAGAGGTCAATTCAGAACAGCACAACAGTCCGTAAAGCAAGAGAGAAGATCGCGAAGCGACCCCGTCCACCGATGGAGATGCGTTAGAATTGATTTATATATTCACGCATAGGTCAGGAAAAAGTGTCCATATGGTGGTGTGTTTGGTAGGACACGATCGGAAGCCAGATATTATTCATGGAATACCCTGCATGTCGTGGCTCGCACAAGAGAAGCGTCTATCACCGATGTCGGACTGCTAACGAGATATCAACTAAACTCCCATAGTTGATATGGTGCATGCGCCACACTCCATCCAGAATAGCCCAGTATCGCTCAACGAGTGATAGTTTATGATTAATCCCACATAGATACTTGGGATGAAAGCTGAATTCACCCCCAAAAAAGCCAACGCATACAGAGAGAGAGAGAAGCAGAGAAAAGCGGTGGTTTTTTTTTTCACGAAGTAGCACACAGAAAAGGCTCATCGTACAAGCTGCACTCAACTGCGAATGACTTGGTTTTTTTTTTTTTTTTTTTGGCAACTTACCCGTGCCTGTTTGAACCCCCCTCACAGGGTTTCGACATCCCCAGGGGGTACCACCGGTGCCAAGACCGTCGTATCGGGTTGAGGAAGGCGGCCAAAGAGAGATCGTTCACGTCTTGGCAAGTCCTACTTACTATAAATTCGCAAGTTTCCCCCCCCTCCTCTTCTAAACTCCGCAGTGCTGCTTCTAGGCCAGGGACTACCCTTCAGCAGCATGCCCCCCCTCGAGCCCCCCCTCGAGCCCCCTGTCATCTATACATGGCTCTTTCGTCGGTCACCCCGTTTCCATTTTTTGGGACGGGGGCCGGCGAAGCTACGGTTGGACTGATTGGCGGTGGGTTAGGGTTTCTTGTGCAATATTTTTTATTTTAATTAATTTTCTTGTATAACAGTTTCTAATTCAGTCCCTTGTAGTTACTTGTAAGGCCTGAACCTAACCTTAGGGATAAAAACACTCCGCTTTGTAGCTCTAGATAAGTGACCAAAAAGAATCAAAACTTTCGCATTTGACTATAATAATAATGTAGGACAAGTTTAATCAGATTTGAATACCCGAGAGCATAAGCCTCAAAAAAGAAGAAATGAGCTCCGTCATGGAGCTATATTGGCGGTGGACAGGTTGGGAACATATGCGATCACTCGTTTTTCCCGAAAAGCCTTGAGACTATATTTGCCTTATTTTATATTGCCACAGGTAGCTGCAGGTAGCTGCATGTATGTATTGTCTTGTCTCGTATTTTGAGGCAAGGTCTCGAGACTTCTGGCTTTATATATACTCATCACCGGCGGTCTTTCTCACAATAGTGTTCGCCGAGCTCCCAGCCTACGCAAATTTTCCATGTTCCGGATGCCCCCATATGGATATTGATAACCTCTAAACTAGTGAAAATATACACATGCGAAATTTCAACAAAAAACATAAACATCCGCTCAGACTAAAACACACAAGATTAAACAATACAGCGTCATAAAGGTAACTAAACAAAATGCGAAAAAAGGGAATACGCTACATGTAACCATCTATCATCTATGCCTGCCGCAATCATTGAAACTTCAGCCTAATAATCGAGAAGAGCATATTCTGCAACACATGCACCATCACCGCTCTATCCCACATATATTAGCACACACATTCACCCCCTCTAAAAGATAAAGCGTAAGAAAGAGAAAACTCACAGACAAGCCGGCACCAATCCCGGATACTTGATAAAGTCGCTGACGGCCTCTGCGGTCACGTCGAACTTGAACCAATACCGGACGAGCCGTCTCACGATCCACGCCGCAGTCATCTCGCACGCCCATGTCGCCAGGGACGCAAAGAACGTCAGCTCGAACGTATATGGGTCCTCGCGATCACTAAACGAGAAATACGGATAAACCTATCGCACCCCCCAGTCTCAGCGAGTGATCCCTCATGACGCACAAAACGAAAAGAAACTCACCTTCGTATTCCATCCATAATGTAATCCCACCACCCAACCCAGCCACGCCACCATACTCACGTTCTCCGCCAACCCCCTCACATAAAAATACCTGCCCACAAACTTCTTATACTCGCCATAATCCTGCGCGTTCCATCCCGCCCACACATACGCGCGATGCACAGCCTTCGTCATACTCAGTGGCAGCCACACCACAACCACACTCGAGCTCAGTATCTGCAGTACCACGAATTGGCTTGGACTGCGCAGGCGCGCATACAGCGCGCGCACATAAGTCTGGTACGTCATCGCAAAGTAGAGCTTAAACACCCACGCGAGCGGATAACTGCCTACGCGGGCACCTAGAATCCACCCGGTGGTTCCGTCAAGGATGTTTATCGTGAGGACCCACGACCAGACATAGACTACAGTTTCGAGGGAGTTGTGAGGGAGGGTGCGGAGGTAGACTTCGGCGTATGCTTCGCCGAGAACAAGAGCAATGAGGGAGAGGAGGAGGGCGCTGCCGAACCAGATGAAGCGGATGTAGGATGTGGGGAGGGACCAGTGATGGATGTGGGAGCGCCAGGTCTTGGGATGGGGGTCGAGGCGCTGCATGGTGGTTGGGGAGGTGGTGAAGAGGAGTTGGGTGTCGGAGAGGGCGCTGCGGCGGCCGAGGTGGCCGGAGCGCCGCTCGAGGAGAAGGACGAAGAAGGAGATGATGAGTGGGCTAAGCATTGTAGTGAAGGTGAGGAGGATCCATGTGAGGTTGTGGTTGAGTATCGGCGCGGGGAGGATGTAGTACATTGGGATTGAAACAAGCAGCGGGAGCAGGTTGAAAAGTGTGAAAGCGTGCGGGAAGCCGAGGCGCGCGGGCCACCAGTTGAGTGAATAGAGGTTGAAGAGCTTGGTGATCCAGAGGAGCCCAACTAGATTGTAGAAGCCGTAGTAGACGATGAGGAAGAACCAGAAGTTGAGAGTAACGAGTGCTTCGCCGTGGCCGCTACCTCCTCCTCCGCCAGTGCCCGGGTTTGGGCGCTCTGGATCCGGGAGTGGGATCTGCGGGACTGTATCGCTGAGCCGGTGCAGAAACGAGGCTACCATATCCCGTATCACTGATATATTAAATACGTTCTTGACCGCCTGCCACAGCAATCCCAATATCGATACCGGGCCCTCAATAGTAGTATGGGGGTAATGATAATATTGCGGCTGTACCGGCAACACCGACGGATCATTCCCCATGATCGGATACGTCGGAAATGGTATCGCACACCACGCAACAACCTACACCCGCATCAGCGCCGCAAACAAAACTTCAACCCTCGCGCTATCAAGTCTACTCACAATCGCCGCCGGCAGCACCACAAGCAGCCCCAACCTACTCCACCACCTCCCCACGATCCCCACTACCACGCGCCGGCGCGGGTTAATAAGCATCCTATCGATCCACCACCTCCTCTCCTCAACCTCCACGTCCTCGTCGTCGTCATCGTCGTCATCGTCGTCCTCGGCGGCATTAATGCTACCATACCCGCCGGCAGTCCACCACTTGGGGTCCGCGCCGTTGGTCGGCGCAAGGACGGTGTAGAGGGTGTTTGGGAGCGCGCGGAAGCGCCCGTAGCGGAAGATCTCGGTTTCTGGTGGGGGCGAGTCGGTGCCTTGCTGAAAGTCGAAGAAAGTTGGCATGGCTTTGGGGGCGTGACGGGCATGAAGAAGAAGGAGAAGAATAGAAGGAAGGGGAAAAGGGGAAGAAGACTCTCTCTCTCCCTCTCTAGTCAGATGGAGTGAGAATCAGACGGAATGGAGTGGGGGCGCAGAAGAGGTTGAGTGAGGGCGGCGGCGGCGGAGGCGCCTCAGGTGGGACAAAAGCTAAGATGAGGGGGATCTCAGACACTGACGCAAGAACTAGCTATAAGCCACAGGAGAGACATGGGGAGCAGCATGTAGAGGAAAGTATCTAGAGTAGATAGTTTATTTAGTTTAACTAGGCACATACAAGAGCTTGTTCGTACCGCCGAAAGTGATATCTGTGCAGCAATTTTGGGCTAGGTTTTGATCCATAAGGTGTCCGTGACCACAAACGCCCACCGCGCATCGGATGACGGTGGTGGGGACATTTTGTTGTTTACATGCAGGTGGCCCTGGCACTTGTGTTAGCCCTGGGCCCCTGCACGCTATCGTACATAAACTGCAGCAGACCCCTCACCGGTTCCACTCTCCTTCCCCCGCAATCGGATGGACATTCAGATCAGGGTCCTCGGGAGAGATGGGGAGGAGAGCGATAGGATGTGAGCTGTCAGTTGATTATATTGATATCATGTCCCCTACCTAACCTCCTCCCACCGCGCGGTGGGCACTAGACCGTAGAGAATACGGGCATGTGTGATGAATATTGGAAACTGTTGAGGTTGGAACGACCTTACGTTTTGGGCTGCACTAGCTAAGCAGGCGGGTGTGGTGGTGTCCGAGTGGCTTGATTGGCCCAGAGATGGAGGATCAGAACATCTTGAAGAACCCCAGCATTTAGTAAATACAAATACAACACCTGGAGATAAATAAATGGGCGGCGACTTACGAGAGACAACGGATATCGTTATCAAAAACCCAACAGCAACAATTGGAATCTTTTGATACCCATAAGCTCTGAGGCCTTTCCCAAAACATATTTCCGAATAGCAAAAAATCCAAACAATTGGCTCAAAAACCTTTCCATCCGGATAGTTGTGACCGTTACTGGCTGCTCTTCTTTATTCACTTGATGATCCTTCTCGCCGAACTGATGCAAACGTGAATAACTGTAACTGAACCAATGGAATTATGATGATGATGACAGTTATGCAGAAGAAGTAGCCGCGCGAGGTTATGATCTTCTCACCGTTTCCGGCCACGTAAAGTAAGTTCTGCCCGCCTTTTGAGTACGTTTCCATTTTAATCTGATGAGTCATCATTGATATCTAACAAGCTCTGGTTATCGAGGTTAGCGTGTCTGTCCTCAGTAGAGCACCGAGCCCGAGACTGGCTACAGTATCGGTGGAGGGTTAAAATACATGTAGTAACTTCTCTCCTCCCAGCCCAGTGAGCTTCGCCAATCTCAGCTACATATCAAATCATCTATGTCAGCTATCTCAGCTATCTCAGCTACCTCAACTATCTCAGCTATATATAAATGTGTTACTTATGTGTATATGTAAATACATGTGCACACTGTACCTACAATCTGCTACTAAACATTTCTTCAACCTCGGCTCCCATCCCCTGCGCATATCATGCACAATAATCATTAGCTGCCGACAACCATCGGCGAAAGCCTATGTTCGTCTAGCTAGCTAGCTAAATATATCAATACGAGCCTTACTAATGAGTCATTGGAATTAGAGTATCTTCAACTGTACTCTGTTAGGTCTTCTTTCTCATATATAAGTACTCTTCGCTATCTCAAAATATCCCGTCCCTAATTCCCTACAAATCAATCATTACCACCCTCATCATGTCTGCAATTGTGTCTTCCCGTGACCCCAATGCCGAATACCTGCTCATCGGCGCATACATTCGCTACTCTAGTAAGTAGGGTCAAATACTAAAACCTAAAATCCACAATTGACCCAAGTGTGTAGGCTGGACCGCCCGAATTGTGGCCATTCTCGAGCACTTCAAGATCCCGTACCGCTTCTCGCAACATAACAAGGCCGACCCCAATGGCCTCCAAACCGTAATTTTCTCTTCCCCCAATACCCATATGTGATTGCAAGATGTTTTCAGATATGAGCGGGTCTATAAAACTAGAGAGAACCCCACAACAGGATTATCAAACCTTATAGATCCAATTATATCAGAAACATCCTCCAGTCACGAGTGGTAACCTCAATACTCACACTAGCACTGACATCCCCTAGATCCACTCCCAACCCGCTCGCCTGGTCCCCACACTCACTGTTCCCTCGCTCGGTCCCAACCCGATCCATGATTCCCTCGCAATAACCGAGTTCCTCGCCGAATCTCATCCCGACCTCCCACTCTGGCCTGCCTCCCGCCGCCTCCGCGCCCTCGCCCGCAGTCTCGTGGCAGAGTTCCACTCCGGCTTCGGAAACCTGCGCAACAACTACCACACAAACTATGTCGCGCGCTACGTTGGGACGTGCCAATGATTCCGGGCGCGGTCAAGGAGGTTGCGCGCTTCCTTGAGTGCGTGGATCTGGCACGGAGGGAGACGCTGGAAGTGGGGGTTGAGGGGCCGTATTTGTTTGGAAGCTTTGGGGCCGCGGATGCGTTTTATTGGCCAGTGCTTTGGGTTTGTTTACCCTTGCCTTGAATGCGTTTATGAATGTGGTGGGTTATAGTTAATTGCTGCGATGGTGTAGAGGTTACGTACGTACGGCTTTGATCTGAGCGCTGCGTCGCCGTTGGCGAGGGAGTGGATTGTGGCCATGTGGAAGGATCCGGTGTTGGTGGAGTTGGGGAGACAGATGTTTATTGATGCAGAGAATCCGGAGACGAGGGTGCCGGAGTATGAGGGCATTTTTCCGGGGGGGGCGGAGATGGTGAGATTTGATGGTAGGGTGGCGTATGTTCCGAGCTTCGAGTGATGGACTGTGAGTAATCGAGTGAGTAACTATGTTGGTGGCTGGTTGCAGTGGATGTAAAGGGATAGGATTTTATGGCGGGCATAATTATCTGGAGATATATGTAGAGTATGGTAACTCTAGTATGGTGGTGTGATTTGTTGAGAGCAGGTTGATCCCCTTTTGTTGGGATGATTGAAGTATGTCCTTAAGATGATATCTTATTGTAACTATCCATATGAAATTTTGTCTTGCGCATACGCACATATATTGAAATATCCTCGAGTAAATAGCATCTCACTGATATGGTAGGGGTACGCTGGTTGAGTTAAGTGCTGACCAAGACATGGACAATCATGTCTTCGCGCGGCCGTTGATTTTTTTTAGATACAAGTATATAGTAGCTCTGCTTGCTTAATAATATTACCCACATACAGCGAGTGTATGTGCCTTGCAGAAGTATTCAGGAAGCGGTTATGGTGCTCTAATTTGGGTGCCGGTTGATCAGATCAAATAAAGGGCGCTGATGACTGGACTGAGTGGATTGGAACGGTTGGGCCATGTCAGGCCTTATCGATAATGGGCATGGAAAACGTGGTCATGTTAAGGGCGACACGTGTGATAAGAAAGAATGAATGAATGTGCGAGGGCAAATATATAAACATTAAACCTCCAGCCTCAATCCATGCACTAGCACATAAGGGCATTACTCTGCTTTGTCCGAGATAAAAGCTCGACCCACCACGGGAACCGAGTGTCAAGCTTCGATCAAGTGCAAGATCCCACTGAAGCTAGCTAGGCTTCTCTTGATCTAACTTACACCCCCAGATTCATCAGAACGAACCACGGCACCTCAACATTCTGAGGAGCACTGACTACCGGATACCCCAGGATCGTGATTTGGCGCAATATTTCTTTGTATGTGCGCTTCGATTGTGAATGTGTGCTTGCATAATACTGAAGCACTGATTCCCGTATTCGGCGATTAGGGACATGGATTAACATGGCACAGCACCTAACAACGAGCTTCCTACAAACCAGCATTGCCTCAAAGAGCAGCATTCCCTCCACAGATACCTAACCTATCCACCGGCTCTCCTCCACGCCTCCCCTCTCGCCAATCCCAGAACCCAGGTACGTAAGGCCAGCTCTAAAAATAATGAAAACGCATGCTTGGCGTACATCCGCTCGGTGAAACGTGAAACATGAAACAAGCAAAAAAAAACCCAAACCCTAAACCCACAGCCTCCTCCTCCCCCCCCCCCCAATAGTAACTATAAACCTCTGACACTTCAGTGCGACAGGCAGGCTAGACAAGCAAATAACCAACTTTCATCATCATTATCATCAGCAACAATGGGTGGTAGTAGTATCCGAGAAGGAAAACATGGCTCCTCTATCCGCTCGTTTTTCGGCAACTTCGGTAGCAACAAAAACAAGTCATCTTTGAACGTGTCGGCACCGATGCGCCCGTCGACTGGTTTGGCCCCGCCCGGGCCGCAATATCCGCCAGGGAGAGCTTCAGATGTGGGGATAAGACCGCCGATACAACAGTCATTTGACTCCGGGAGGGGTTCGAGCTTTGAGAATCCGAGGACGAGCCCGTTGAGGTATCAGCAGCCACCGCCGCCGCCAGTGGCGATTATGGAGCGGCCTATAGCTAAGAAGCCAAAGCTGATTATCGGGATTGATTTTGTGAGTTTGCTGGCAGGCTGGGTTTGGTTGGTTGGTTGCTGGGTTGGTTGGTTCACGCTTTGCTGATTGGGTTGTTTGTTGGCTTGGGTTAGGGCACGACATTTAGCGGTGTCGCGTTTGCGTTTACAACAGACGGAGGTGTAAAAGAGGGTATTATCACTGAATGGCCCGGAGCGGGTAATCAGTCGAGGAATAAGGTTATTTTTCACATTCATTTTGTCTTGCCAGTAGTCCTGGACAGCTCTAATATTCCACCCCATTTAGGTACCCACTATACTTTACTATGACAAAGAACAAAACATAGTAGGTTGGGGGCTGGAATTTGCAGGAGCCTTAGCCCCTAGTGGATATCCAAAACCGGGCGTTCAGAAGGTCAGTTATTTCGTGTTTTTTTCTTTGGTCTTAATTATACTCATGTTTAAAGCCTTGGGTTACTAAGATATAGCCTCGAGCTCTACACAGATTGAATGGTTCAAGATGCAACTTATGCAGGCCGACGGTACCTACTTGAAGAACGACAAACTTCCAGCTCTGCCGTCCGGCAAAACACCTACCGACGTTGCTGCAGATTATCTCATCCAACTTCGTAAAGCCTTACGAATCCAGCTCCAAAAGATTCTAGGCGAGGCTGTTTACAACCGCCACGAAGACAGCATACACTACTACCTTACAGTCCCAGCGATTTGGAATGATGCCGGAAAGGCGGCCACGAAGCGGGCTGCTATACAAGCGGGGCTTGTGAAAGCTGAGAGTGACTCTAGAGTTACCCTTATTTCAGAACCAGAAGCGGCAGCAATGTTTTGTTCAAAAACGGGGCTGCTGAATTTGAAGATATTGGATGCGGTCTTGGTAGTGGATTGTGGAGGCGGGACGGTCGACCTAATTGCGTACGAAGTTACGCAGGAGGAGCCGTTGACGCTGGTTGAGGCTACGACGGGATCGGGGGACTCATGCGGGTCCACGGCTGTGAATAGGAATTTTTCGGGGTTACTTCGGCGTAGAATTGATTTAATGAAGCTCCCGCCTGGGACGAAAACCGGTCCAAAGATTTACGCAAAGTGTCTTTCTGAGTTTGAGAACCGTATCAAAGCGGACTTTAGGAATAATGGGCAGGTCTGGGCTATTGATATTGGGGTGGAGACGGATTATCCAGAGGCTGGCGTGGAAGAGGGATATATGTCATTCACAGACGCGGAGATATTAGAGTGTTATAGACCAGTCGTTCACCGGATATTGGAGCTCGTAAAGAACCAGATAACGGCAATTCAGACGCAGAATCGCCATTTACAGGTACGGAATACTGTGTTTCCCGCTCATGACGGCATTTTTGGTGGACACTACTGATTCACGGGCTATCATCAGAATGTACTAGTTGTCGGTGGCTTTGGCGGGTCCGAGTATCTCTTCCAGGAAATCAAGGACAATGTGCCACAGCAGTACCAACATGGAGTCGTACGACCTATGGATGCAGTTGCAGCAGTGGTGAAAGGAGCTGTTACTGCTGGTGTAAGCCAGAGTTTAGTGACAGCCCGTGTCGCGCGAAGACACTATCTTATGGCAACTCTGACACCATTCAAGCCGGGGTACCACAAAGAAGAGTATCGGGTCCCTAGCTTAGATGGCAATGACCGATGCAAATTTACACGGCATGTATTCGTTAATAAGGGGCAACGTATAACGATCGGGGAGCCTGTGAAAATTTCATTTTTTAGGCAGGTGGCGGCAGGTTCATCACTTACCTATAGCGACATATTGTATGTGTGTGATATGGATAACTGTCCAGAATATATAACAGATCCAGGTTTGTCTTCCTATCCTTTATCTTCACTTCTATGGCTAAATTTAGAACAGGCATTAGACCATTGGTAACATTAACATCCGACCTCTCGCGCAAATCTCTAGAGCGCGATTTCCAAACGGTGGAAACACCACAAGGAATCTTCTATAAAGTCTACTTCGATATATACCTGACCCTTGATGGATCCGAGTTTAGCGCTGAGGTGGTCTGCCAGGGTGAAATTATGGGTGCTTGCCAGGTTAAGTTTGAATGATGCTCTAATATCGTTGCCTTTGTTATTTTCTATCCCTCAAGACTCATTTTTTGTCTTTCTTGTATTTACTTAATTGATAGTTATTATTGGAGAGGATAAGTTGAATGAAATTACGGAAAAGTCCCAGAATGCCACGCAAAAAGGCGACAGGAATCTACAATGCCCTCAAACTAAGCTTCATGCCACACCGGCCATATTAATTAAGATACTTTGTTAGTAAATATTCCATTTCTCGTGATTGCTATTTGGTATCAACGCGGTCAGAATATTGTTGGCTGCTAATTATAGATAAAGAACAGAAGGCCAGTACGTGTATGTATCTACTTGATCATAAATTATCACTCGGTATGTAGAAAAAAAAACTACATCGACTTAGGCCTGCTATTTACCTTTGACATTAGATCCCGTGAAGGAAAGCTTCGGATAAACAACTGGGGTCTTACGCCCTTACCTCCAGAGGAACAAATTCATGGTACAGTAAGTCGGACAACCCTCTTCCTCAGCTGGTAAGGCATCTCTCCAGTCTGTGTGGACAATATGACGCACCTGTGAGGCCCTCAATTATATATCGTAGTGTCTGAAACCTCTCTAAGGTGGGAATCGAATCCGAGATATTCCGATAGATGTTAAATGTTTATACTACTACTAGCGATGCCGATTTTAATATAGATCATGTGACTACCGTCTTGGTGTGAAGGCTTAGGATTTTGTGAGAGTAATGGGTTATATGATCTATATTAAAGTTGGCATCGCTAATGTACTAGGTAGCGATAGCTATACATTTAAAACTCGGAATTTCCTTTTCACATTCGAGCGTGAAGGGCTCTCTTATTGAGTGTTATACAAGGGTTAACTGTGAGCTTAATGTTAGGTTAAGGTGACGATGTGGTATGAAACTTAGTTGGAGGGCATTGTAGATCCCTGTGGACCTTTCCGGTGAAATTATCAGTGTCTCGATGTCATGCAGGGGTGTGTGGTTCTTTGAACCTGATGTTAACGGACCTAGTAAGGCGGTCTACTAATATAGCTCGATTTGGATTAGCTCGCTGGTATTACTACACTACATATATTCGCCTTAGACAGCCAAGCGTTGGACCTCATTTCATAACAGGGACGATGACGACAACGACAATTCATGCTGTTAGAAAGGTGGATTATACTATAGATACTTTCCTAGTATTCTTTTAAAAATCCCACCCATGTTTCGTGCATCTTGAAAAGAAGGCTTGGGATGTTATACTATGGAGGGGTGACCCGCAAGCTCGAATTTTGCAGACTTGTAGCTTTTATGCAACTCCTATTATTGAGACTGAACAGAGTACAATCACGGTCTACAAGCACGATATGTAATCTGAGGGCATGATTCAGCTCTGGTAGCTTGAGGTTCCCAAAACGGTACCAGCACATACACACACCCTTCCTTGGTTATGTATAGAAATAACGGTAATAGCTCAGTACAGTAGTAGCTGTAACCAGCCTCAATACCTGGTATCAGCTTCGAAGGCCGTGGGACTTGGTGCATGAGATCGGATGAGTCATGAAATATCACTCTCATCTGCCTGATTTCAGCAGCAATTAAGGAACTTCCCGAAGACTCTTTGTAAGCGGGGCTTCATAGGGGGTGAGTAGCTCTAGAAAGGGGAATTTGGCCCTTTTGGACTACGGGGTGATCCACTCGTGTGAGGCCGGCGGCTTCAAGGGGTATAGGTTTTCGGCCTAGAGCTCTGCGCCGGGGGGCGCGGGGCCCTGTTGATGGTTGGACATTTATTTGCCAAGACCACAGTACTAGTAGGTATAAGTGGCCATGAGCTATCTGGCACATAATTACATGTAGATGTATGGAATTCTCTTTAACTCTATAAGGACCACTATTTTCGTTATTTGGAACTTGGACCCATCAGATTTTTGGAGTGACGGTACATTCATAAATTATCACTCGGATTATGAAGACACTCTGTGAATCGCCCAAACAAACTAGATATTGGGGGTATAAATGATGGATTAGTAGCCAAAATGAAGGAGTAATCAAGATACAAATATTTCTGTTAATAAAAGAGAGTACTGAAGTTAACTACGTCTTGCTCTTCTATGTATTTCTCAACGAATCTTCTGAAGAACTTCCCGCTCAGCCCAAAGCCTGAAGGGGGGAAAGGAATAATACTGAACACGTTGCTCCGGATATTACTCTGGGCTGGGCTGTGTCTTATTGCCCTCTCCGTTCTACAACGAGTCAACATTGTCCTATCTTCAAAATAGCAAATAACCTCGTGGAT